TTCCAGCGACACTCCTGAATTGGAGCATGGACTCACCCTGGTCCGAAAACGCCGCAGTTCGCATTCTGCCTCCAGCCAGGTTGCGCCTAGCGCCCCCAGCTCTCTGGATTAGAACGCTCAGCAGTCGCCCGGAGGTTACCCGAGGCCTGCCGGGTACCAGGGGAACTTGGACACATTTTTAGATCCAGGCAGGATTAAATACTAAGTGCTTAATAATACAGTCCAGGATATCCGTTCGTAGCGATCCATCTACTTCGCAGAAAGCCCGGGACCTCAGACGCACGTTTCTGTCTTTGCTTCTCCTGAGCTGGGCCAGGCGACTGGCCTGGTGGCTGCCCAGCAGTTGTCTGTGAGTGAATGAATGAACAAACACAACCTGGCTGCAGTGTCCCTTGGAAATGGCCACAGCAGATATTAGACATTGCGAACGATAGGGCCACTGCCGTGTGTCTGATGTTATGGTCAAGCAGGAAAGATATTTAGCAGATGCTCTTACTGGGCATCTCCTTACATCTCTATTTTCAAAGCCAATGACTTCTTTTTAAGTGTTTCTTCCATGATTATTGAACATTGGCTGGATCTGGTGCCCAAGCGTGAAATACTCTAAGAGGCCGCAGGAGGCTGCTAGAGTTAGTCTGTAGCTAGGACAGATGTGACGAGTCATTTAAAAATTGGTCGAGATCTAAAGGCACTCTTTTTATCCTTGTTTTAACTTTTCTGACTCCTTGGTTCACTTTGTAGTTAGGAAAAAAAGCATTTTCCCTCTTTGATGACAGACATGCCTTTCTCATTTTACAGAGTAGCCAGAGATCTCGGTCACTGGCCGTTTCATTCAGCAAAGCTTTCTGGCTGCCCAGCAGGAGCCAAGCTTTGTGCTAGGTAGTATGGGGATTCGAGGCTGAACGGAGCACATGGCTCACTGGCGAGGATAAATCTATTAACAATGTGTTTTTGTAGTAAACTGACAATTTCATGGAGTGTGCGTCCAGTACCATGGGAGGGCCAGGCAGGAGAGTCACTGAGAGATTTTCATGGGGCTCTGCTGACGCAGTGATGTTTGAATTGATCCCAAAGGACTGATAGAGGCTCACCAAGAGAAGGGAGAAGGGCCTCTAGGAAGACAGTGGCAAACGCAAAATGTGGGGCCAGCAGTTGGTGTGGTTAAGGCGCTGCACTCCCACGTGGCTGATCATGGTTTGAGTCCTGGACCTGGCAGCTTACTCTCTCACTTTCCCTCTCTCTCTTTCACTGGTGAACATTGAATGCCCAATAGCAAATTAAAATAATAATAATAATAAGAAGAAGTAAAGTTAAATAAATAATTCTTAAAAAAAAAAAAAAAAGACAGAGAGTTGTGAAAGAACTCAGCTTGCCCCAGGGGATAGACAGCTCCCTGTCAAAACATTATTCAAAGGGAGCCAGCAGGTGGCATAGTGATTAAGGTGCTGGATTCCCATGTGGGCGACTGGTTTGAGTCCCAGACCTGGCAACTTGAAATTCACTCTGGTACATGTGCATGCATGCCCAGAATCCCAGGAGGAGAATGGTGGAGGAGCGATTGCATCGTGGCCATTCCCCCGAATGGTGATTTCTCACTTTCCCTTTCACTGTTTCTCTCTTTCTGTCTCTCCAGTGAGGGCACTGCCCTATGGCAAAAACCTCAAAAGATAAAATAAAATAAAAAACAAAATAACAATGACAACAAAAGTTTTTCAAAGTGTTGTGTGTGTGGGCTGTGGGTATTAGAAGCTCTGTCCAAGACTGAGTGGTGGATTGGACCGTGCCTTGATCTTTGATGGAAGCCATGATTTGCATTTTGAGGACAATGTCTCTGTGTCGTCATGGAGGGCACAGGAAGTGTGGCTTCAGCGTGTTGTGATGACAGATGATTTTTGTCTTGAGCCTGGACTGTGCCGTGGGGCTGGAGAGCCCTGGCTGCTGTTGAGAGTCATTCGGAAGGTAAGCTTGACTCACTTGGTAACTAATTGGATGTCAGGGGAAGGCCGAGGCTACTCTAGTTTTCTGGCCTCATTGATCAGATACATGCAGTGAGAACACAGAAGCAGGCTGGGGTTGGCGTGAAGGGATGTGAAGTTTGAGGTGCTTGGAGATTTTTCTGGGTAGGGGGTCCTGGTTTGAGTGTTGACAGTTACTGTGTTCCAGGAAATAGACCAAAGGAAAAGCAGTCCACTGGGGAGTTTCGTTATCTTTGTTCATTTGAGCGCCTTGTCAGGCAACAGTTTTGTAGATAAGTGTCTCCTTTGTCTTCTGGTGACACATGCTAAACCTTCATAAGCAGGGGACAGGATGGTGACTTTCCCCACATTATAGGAAAATCATGGAAGGAAGAATGTTTCTAGTTCTTCGAAGTTAAAACAAGACCTTGTTTTTTCCAGAATGCCAGTGAAATACAGCTCATTATTCACAGACGTGGACCCGTGACATTCTCAAAGGGCTCGTCCATGACCTTGGTGCGTCTCCAAGATCATGAATGTCACCATGGTATGTAATTTCTCCCATAAAATGCAGTAAGTGTGACTGAAAAATGGGAGGAATCCTTCCAGACTCTTAATGATTCTATAAATATGGGGCCAAGGTAATTTCTAAAGCTATTTAAATAAAACCTGCCATTAAAATAAAACCCTTACTTCATGAGCTTATAACTTTACCGTACTAACGCTACCTGACCCTGCGAAGGTGGGGAGGGGGGAGAAGGTAATCACCGATGGGAACTGCAGTGTAGACACCGTGGGGGAGAGCTGAGCTGTTCTGGGCCAGTGTGGAAGGGGCCTGTTCACTAGCTAAGTGGCCGCCCAGTGCACTCTGACCTCCTAGCAGCCCGCTTCAGTTTGTGTCAGCCAATGACTGCCCTGTAAGGACCTTTTAGACTGTTCCCTGGGGCTTGCTGTCACTCAAGGAGATGCCGTCTGAACAGCCCGTGTTGCAATTAGCTCAGAGCTCTCCACAGCGGGGCTGCGTGTCTTTTCCTCCCCGTCATAGGAAGCCTCTCATGATAAGTCTCTATTGGCACCCTGTTCCCGCCTCTGTGAACACCTCTCACGCTGTTCTCCCGTTGTTCCCTCTCGTTCGCTCACACCTAGCTCCTGCAGTAGGCTCGTCACACCTCAGAGGAATGTCCATCATGCCCTGTTGCTCAGCCGAGAGCCTGCACCCAGCAGCTGCTCAGTAAACGTTTGAAGGATTAAACGTTTCCTTCAAAATACGATCGGGGACAGACAGCGGTGCAGCAGTAAAACTGATACTCTGCAAGGCTCATCTACGTGGGAAGGTTCTGGGTTTGTATTCGGAGACCTTCAGAAAATGTCAGGCAGGGACCAGCAGTTAGCGTAATGGCTATGTCGCTGGACTCCCATGTAGTCGACTGTGGTTCAAGTCCCGGACCTGGTGGCTTAAACTCATGCCGGGCATGTGTGCATGCATGCCCAAGATCCCGAGAGGAGAATGGAGGAGAAGGGATTGCTGTGTGGCCATCCCCCCGGGAGGTGATTTCTCGCTTTCCGTCTCTCTGTCTCTCTCTGTCTGTCTGGCGAGTACACGCGTCCTATAGTGAAAACCTCTCAAAAAAAAAAAAATGTGAGGCACATGCATGCCCGTGATCTCAGCCAGCGGAGGCCGGGGGTAGGTTGCATTGAACTAAAATCTGGTAAAGCGTCATTTCCCACACCTCCCCTAGAGGCTCTGTCTCATGGCCGATGGCGACCGTATGCGTTGACCTTCTTTCTGCATTGCACCTCTTTGTCCTCCCGCGCTTTGTCCTCACGTGCCTCCTTGATGTTAAGTGATGCTTTTGCCTTTGAGCACTATCCATGATCTCAAGGGTTATCCGTTCTAGGCACCAAGATGTGGGAACCCTAATAACAAGACCATGACGACTGTCATTCTTTGTGAGTAACTTCATCGGAGTTTGTTCTCAGGGGACAGCACAGACCCTCCTTTGTGCTGCGGGCCTTTGAAGTTCCGGGCATGACAGAGCCCTCAGTTCCTCGACTGGAGCCCCCAGCACACTGTCAGGGTGCTGGCCTCAACGCCTCCCTCACAGTCCACTCCCCCCACTGCAGAGGACACAGGACAGCAGTCGCCCAGAAGCAGGGCCGTTTGGGACCTTACTTGTCCTCGGCGTTGACTCATGCCTCAATTCGTCAAGTGAGCCTTTTAGAAACTCTGGGTCACAAGGGCCTGTTTTCTCATGGGTCTTGGCAGGGGCTTTCAGAAGTTGTAACACAGATTACCGGAAGTTGCCGAGAAATTGCCTCTGGAGCTGTTGAACACAGAGGCAGTTTTCTAGCTAACCTGGCTGACCTAAAGACAGGCAAGAGGTTCACGACTCCTCAGGGGCAAGGGTACAGGATGAAGGAGGCCACTCCTTTGGATGACCAAACCCCCCTACCATGTTCTCTTCCAGGACAGGCTAAAAAAACGACACGGAGCGGTGATGGCAATGGGGTGCTTCACAGGAGTCGTTTCACTCGGGACATGGCTGCCACTGTGCTTCAGGTAGCCAGTGTCGCCAGCCTTGTGTTATGTGAGAGGACTTCATAAACCACATGGGAAAATGGATATAAAGTAAGAGTTTATTTTGGTGCAAAAATGTTTGAAATTTTCATAATCCACCTTTTCCATTCACTTTTTGAAGACCCTTTGTGTGAGGCTGCGGAGATTATGAAGAAGGATGCCCTGGACTTTCAAGTCTTGTTGAAGGCCCCCCTGTGCCAGTCTCTGCCACATTCAAATTTGTTTTCTTGGCCTCTATCTATAAAATTGGACACTTTTTTGGTTTGTATGTTTAATCTCATGATTCTACAAATTCCCATTTTCCTCCTAGCTTCTCTGACCGCTTGTTTTTCCCCATCCCCAAGGGTCGTATTTCCTAAACGCCCCTCTTTCCTTACTTGGAGTCCTTCAGGGTATTTTCCCATGTTTTACTGTTATTTTCCATGGCTAGTGCTCAAGTTCATCCTGGAAGTCCAGCATGCTCCTGAACTCGAGGCCAGCACGCTCACCCATCTGCTAGATGCTTCTGTTTGGATGGACAGTACTGCGGTCCCTCCCATCTCGGCGACTTGGTTGATGGCTCTCTTTCCAGACAAGCCAGAGTCTCCTATAAACCAGCTATTGGAGAGACGGGGTCTTCCCAGTCCTGGAACTCAGAACCATCTTGGGCTCCTTCTCCATCTTTTTTTTTTTTTTTTTCAAGTTTCTTTCTTTCTTCTATGAGTGAGACACACACACACACAGAAAGAGAGAGAGAGAGAAAGAGAGAGAAAGGGAGAGAGGGAGAGAGAGAGAGAGATATACAGGCACCCCTAACAGGGTCTTTATGCCTCAATCCTCCCCCATCCTCATCCAGCCCAGATCATGGCAACATGTGCTGTCATACTCAGGGAGGCCTCTGGACTTGAACTGAGAACCTTCCCATGTGGGATCACATCATAGAGGTCATGGTCTGTGGCTGTACCACTGTCTGGCCTCTGCTTTTTAAAAATTGACATATAAGGGACCAGCAGTTAGTGTAATGGCTATGTCGCTGGACTCCCACGTAGTTGATGGTGGGTCAAGTCCTGGACCCCGTGGCTTAGACTCATGCCGGCACATGTGAGTGTGTGCCCAAGATCCTGAGAGGAGAATGGAGAAGAAGGGATTGCGGCGTGGTGATTCCTCCCTAGGGGGTGATTTCTCACTTTCTGTCTGTCTGTCTGTCTGGCGAGCGCATGCGCCCTATAGCAAAAAATCTCTCAAAAAAAGTTGACATAATAATGGATATATTTACATTGTACAAGGTGATTTTGAGTACAGTATGCAATGATTAAGGTAATTAGTATATCCATCATCTCAACCATCTGTCATTGCTGCGTTCAGAACATTCAATTTCTTCTTTTAGCTACTCTGAGATATACAGTAAATTGTACTATAGTCACTTTATTGCATTTTATAACACTAGAAATGGTTCCTCTTTTATGGTTGTAACTTCGTAACCTGTAACTCTTTTTTTTTTTTTTTTTTTTTTTTTACAGAGGTTTTTTCTAATAGGGGCATGTGCACTTGCCAGAAAGACAGAGACAGAGATAGAAAGCGAGAAATCACCCCCCCCAGGGGGGATAGCCATGCCACAATCCCTTCTCCTCCATTCTCCTCTTGGGATCTTGGGCACACACGTACACATGCCTGGCATGAGTTTAAACCACCGGGTTCGGGACTCGATCCACAGTTAGCTACTTGGGAGTCCAGCGACATAGCTATTACGCTAACTGCTAGTCCTGCGTAACCTGTATCTCTTTATCTTCCCTTCTTCCTACACTTGATCCTTCCCAATTGTCATTCTTCAACTCTACTTCTATGAGATCATCCTTAAATTTCCACATATGGATGAGAATGGGTATTTCTTCTCTTGTGCTTGGCTCATTTCATTTAGCAAAATGTCCTTCAGTCTTGTCCATCATTATCTTAAATGAAAGGATTTCATTTTTTTTGAGGGGGGGCAATGGGAGGGCATGTGCTCACCAGAGAGACAGAGAGAGAGAGAGGGAAAGTGAGAATGTCCATACTGCAATCTCCTCCATTCTTCTCTTGGGGTTCTGGGCAGACACACATATGAACCCAACATGATTTTCAAGCCACTGGGTCCAGTGCTTAAACCACAGTCGACCAGGTGGGAGCCCAGCACGTTAACCACCATGCTACCTACTGGTCCAGATTTCATTCTTTTTAATGGCTGAATAGTATTCAATTGTATAGATATACCACGTTTTTATTATTTATGTGTTTGTTGATGGATACTTCTGTGTATCTTGGCTAGATAGTACCTACTTTATGAGGGTGATGTGTTAATTAAATGTAAGTCTCCTAGTGTAGTGCTTGGTACATGGCAGCCAGTGCCATTTATTCTATAACCATTCCATGTGATAGGCAATGTGAAATCTGGGCAGATGGAAGAAACATCCTTGCCTGTAGGAATTTCCAGAGTGGCTGGATCTCAGTTTGGATGAGCCTCTAGCTACAATCCTCCTGTTGCCTCTGTTTGGATTCATGATTGGGGAGGATAAGCTATAAATAGGTTACACAGCTTGAGGGCCCAGGTGGAATCACCACTTGTAGGTAGACCATGTTCATAGATACCCCCAGCAGAAAGTGGTTACTTCACTGAATTTGCTGTGGCCTCATGTACATTTCCTCCACACACCTTCCCCCCCCCTTCTTCCTACTTCTTTCTTGTTTTTTCCTACCAAACACAGACTAATCTTGGACAAATGTCTTTTACCATCATTCCTCCTCATAGTCAGATAGTGGGATTTAGTGGATGATTTGTCTGGCTCTGTTTTGGAGCAGTAGTTCAACCCAATGTGTGTCCGCAGGTGTCCTATACCCACAGGCCAGGTGCTGTCCAGCTCTGGTATAGCTGGTAAAGCATAGCCAACCCTTGTTTTCAGCATTTGCCACTGGGACACGGATCTCTATGATGGTCCTCACTAGAAAACAGAGGAGACTGTTGATAGTGGAATTTCCACTATTGATATTTTCTTCGTAAGGAAGGTTTTTGCTATAGGGCATGCGCACTTCCCATAGAGACAGAGACAGAGATACAGAGACAGAAAGCAAGAAATCACCCCCCGGGGGGAAGGCCAACCTGCAATTTATTCTCTTCCATCCTCCTCTCGGGATTTTGAGCACACACACACACATGGGGTGGTGTGAGTTTCAAGCTCCTGGGTTTGGGACTTGAACCATGGTCTGCCATATGGGAATCTAGCACCTTAACCACTACACAACCTGCTTGCCCCACTGCTGCTATCAATATTTATAACCTTTCCTGCTAAAATTTATATTTTTATGTATATTTTATTATTGAATCTCTTAGTGTTATGATACATACAGATGCTCCTTGACTATGATGGGGTTATACCTTGATAAATTCACCATAAGTGGAAAATATCATAAGTCAAAATGCATTTATTAATTCTAACCTGGTGAATGTCACAGCTTAGGCTATCTGATCTGAAACGTGCTCAGAACACTTACATTAGCCTATAGTTAGGCATAGGCATCTAACACAAACCCTGTTGTATAATAAGGTGCTGAATGTCTCATGTAATTTATTGAATGCTGTACTGAAAGTAAAACAATGATTTTGGGGCCAGCAGGGGGTATAGTGGTTAAGATGCTAGACTCCCATGTGCTTGACCTTGATTTGAGTCCCAGGTCCTTGAAACTCACACCAGGCATGTGTGCACGCATGCCCCAAAATCCCTAGAGGAGAATGGAGGGGAGGGGTTGGGTGTGGCTGTCCCCACAGGGGGTGATTCCTGTCTCTCTGTCTTTCTTTCTGTTTCTCTGCTGAGCATGCGTGCCCTAT